GTCAGTTATCTATCCTGCATTGGGATGAAATGAATCCACATGCCAAGGTGCCTTTCTCTGACTTGGTAATACAGGGAGCTTGGGGTGATTTTCTCAGACTGACCACCTAAGCCTGAACAGATAAATCCCACCCAAGGGTCTGTTTATAACTAGCCTCAGCTTGAGGTCTGTATCTAAACAAAATTGTTCTGATAAATAGGCATCTGCTAATGCCAGCTGTGCTCTGTCTTGTGGTTCACTTTTTGAGGTGTCATACTTGCAGCGTTGGGAGGGACTGGGCAACAGTTTTTATTCTTAGGCAGCTTCCCATTATTTTTAGAACCTCCTTTAAAAATAGCTGTCACTCACCTAATGCGTGAGAAAAGGGGGCAGCTGTTTCTCCTCTGTGTTTCTTCTCCTCAGTAGGATGCTGTGGCAACCAAAAGCAAACATTTTTCCTGTCCACTTGCCCTCTGGGATGGTGCCGTTGGTCATCTGTCCTTTCTCTGTCAGACCTCTGGTTTTTCACTTTTGCTTTGTGTTTTTCCAACTAGTGATCTACATTCTAAATCTCCTATCTTGTCTTTCTCTTCCTCTAGCCTCATAAACTGCTTTGCTTAGATTTTGTCTTCTGTCTGGGCATTCCTGATCTGCCCCTGTGTTTATACATGAGTCCATTGTGGGACATGAAAACAGAAAGCAGGGAAGGGAGAACACTAATTTTTCCCCCTTTTAATCTAGTGTCCTACCACACTAAGCTTGAGCTGGCTTCATCATCAGGCTTCTTCTCTGCTTCCTTCCATCCTTTAATGTGGCATGCCTGAGTGCATTCTAATTTCAGTGTCCACCCAATATTAGCAATTACTCTCCTGGGGAACTGGAGCTGTGGGTTCAAATCCTTTTAAGTAAAGGATGTTCCATAGCTGGTACTTCACACTTTTTGGATCAATACTTGAGTGGCATTTCTGTTGTGCAAAAGGCAGGTGCCACTGCTGCCATGGCTGGGATGATCAGATGGGGCCTTGATAGTCCTTTCTACCTGTTCTCTACACCTCCAAAAATGTAGCTGCAGGACTGGGACCACCCTCCCCATGCTGAGTTTGCCTTTTGAGCCTGTCCAGTGCCCTCAAGAAAATAACTGTCAGGTCCCCCTAGGAAAACTTCCAAGCACCTGGAGAGTGATAATGTGTTGGAAAGCATAAGTTGCTTGAATGGGCATTAACCACTTAAATACTGCACAAATACCCCAACTTCTGCAACCAGTCCTAAGCCTCTGTGGATGAGAAGGGAAGAAAAGCAATGCCTTAAAGCTTCATAAATAAAATTACAAATGCATACATGCATAATATATATTTATTCATGTAAATAAAAGTACGCTGCAACATTCTCCACATTATTCACTGTTTCATGGTGAATCCTTGGTGTTTTATTTCCTACAGAAATAAAACTGTGTGTGGGGATAGCATCAGGTACTCATGTAAATGCTTTATGGGAACAGGGATGAACTGTGATGGTTTAGACCCAGGTTTTAGAAGAACTGACACCTACATTTGAACCCTGGTAAGTTTTTTGTTGGTGGTGTTTTTGTTTCTAGGGTGTTTTTTTGGGGGTTTTTTTGTGGGTTTTTTGTTGGTTTTTTTTTTTTTTTTGGCATTTTGGGGAGGTAAAGAATACTGAAAATTTGATCTGACATATATTAAGGATGACATCCAAAACTGCAAACTGTTTTTGTAAAATATAGCTGCAAACAGCAGAGATCTTGTAATCTAGTAGGGACTTCGATTAAAACATTGCAGGAGAAATTCTCTTTAGTTGTATCTGACCAACATTTTACATAAAGATAAAATTCTACTTGAGCATTATTTTCTACTGACTGAAAAGCCATAGAGAACTATTGTGAAAGATTTGGCACCTGGGTCCCATCTCCCTCTAGTTAAAGGTTTTGAAAACATACTTGTCCCCTTCTGGCATTATTTTGATCTTACCCTGAAGCCCTGATTTTATATTTTTAACACAGATTACAGTAAGTTAATTCTAACATGAATTCATTGACTTCAGCAGAACAACATCAGGAAAAAATTGTCCCAATTTTTACAAACATTCTTCTTGATGAAAAGTGAGACTACTATTCCTACATATGTCAAAGGCATCTACATTGTACAGGCAGAACTAATAGTCCCTTATACCTCACAAATATTGGCTGAGGACATGGCTCTATTGTGCCAGAATTAAGTGTACTTTGGGGAGTAACCAAAGACTTCCTATCAGTTAGGTTTTTAGGTAATGCTAGACTCACTCTTTTGTCCTCTGCAACAAACGCTGCTCTTCAGCATCATCAGGACCTGAAACGTGTTATATCTCTGCTTTATACTACTCCATGCTCCATAGATTTCACAGAGACTTGGTAACTGCAGCAGTTATGGTCCTCTTTTTTGCAATTCTACAGTATTAATATTTAGGGATTTTTTTTCAGTCTTTCAAGTCCATTGCTTCAACCTTTAAATCAACATGTAGAATTTAACTTGAGAGCATTGCAATGTTACGATAATGATCATTGTTTAAACAGCTTTGTAACTGATTCTGATTTTTATAGTCTAGCTAAGTGGTGAACTCTTGATTACCCAAGGTAACGCACAAGGGAGCTGGGAGGACAAATGAGAAAACGCTTAGATAAAGTAAAAGCATAGCTACACAAAACATCGGTAGGTTAGGATGATCAGCAAGGCTGTAATGGAGAAAGAAGAGGTCAGTGACACAAGTTTCATCTCTAGTGTGAAAGGCATCTTCCCCAGGGAAGGATCTGCAGCCCTTGGGCCAAGGGGTGAAAAGCAGCTTGTGTGAACAGCACTGGAGGCTTGTCCCTTCTGCCTCTCACCGCTTCCCCCGGAAACCTATCCCTAGTCTGTGCTGAGTGCTGGTGGTACCCTTGTATCCTGGGACTTAATTTAATTTAAATCATCTGTTCAAAATGTTTGAAATAGCATGAGGTCTGTGTCACAGCCTGCTATTTCACTGGCGTGATTTTGTGGGCATGTGTTGCATCTGCTAGAATGTGGCTTAGGGCCTGCCACGGTGCTTGAGGACAGACAAGCTACCCAATTGTTCTGGGAGGTGTCGGGACATGAATGATGAGGGCTTGAAAAGTCAGGGGAGTGAAAACCCTTGAAAGTTATTGCTGTGTCTGTAGTGCTGACTCAAACCTGCTTGGGAAAGTCACCAAATGTGGCTGTGGCTCTGCAGATTTATGTGTGTCTGTACTAGGAACATACTTAATTCACAATAAAGATAATTCAGCTCAGATACCTGAGAATAAAGTATAGTTTTAAAAATAACAACAAAAATCATAATAAGAATGAAAACAACTCAGTAATAGTGAAATAAAAACAGCTCAAAATCTCATAGGATTATACAGAGGATTAGAGTTACTCCATAACTGTTGGCTGGCTGAGCACTAATGCCAGCAAGCATCGTTTGCCTTCTGCATTTTTCAGCCATTTGGTTTCAACTGGGTAGATCATCTGTGTTGTTGATTCTAAATCCAAAATGTAACAAGCTGCTGACCCTTGTGGAGCAGCCACTGGCAGATACAGGAACTCCATGCATGAGGCATTTGCTGGCTGAAGTGATCTCCAAGTTTTCAATCCAGTGTTGGGGGGAAGTGTGGGAGCTCAAGGAGTGCTAGAGGCCAGCTGACCTGGCCAGTCCTGCAGCAGTTTTGAGCAAGCCTGTGGGGCCTTGGGGATTCTCTGATGGTCTCTCAAGGACTTGTCACTTGAAGCTTGGCTTGTAAAGCCTCTTCTCTCTTGTCAAGTGAGGTAGATTTCCTCACTTGAGGAAATAGGTCTCAAAAGTTGTTTGGAAATTGTTGTGCTGTTTGCATTGATATGTTTTCGTTCCTAATGGAAATAGAGGCATTTTACTAACTTTTTTTTTTTTTAAGTAAATGCTGCCTTTTCCTCCTCTTCTAATTTTGTTTTTCAGTGCTTTCAGCTTACGCTGATTTAATGGCCGCTGTTATAAGTGCTGAAAATTAAACTTCTGACCCCTGCTTAGACAGTGAGAAAACATTCATACTTTTTTAAATGCTGAACATCTCTAGGTTTCTCTCTGGCATTGGTTTTACCGATGCTGAAGATACTCCAAATACTGAGACCAAGATAGCATTTGAAAAAACAGGCTGGTACCTTTTTCTGAGGACCACTTTCAGTGGGGCTTGGTTTTCTAAACGCCTTTATGAATCTGGGTCTGAAAGGACTTGAAGGTAGGTCGGAAAGGCAAGGAATTTTTGACGATTTTAAAATGAAAGATGCTGCCGTGGCATATACCTGGATATCAAACTCTTATTTCAATCATATGAGGCAATTTTAGCTGCAGGAGAGGTTTCTTTTGAAAGCAGGAAAAGGTGGAGAAAGTGATATCCAAAGTGCTTTTGGTTTTATTTCTGCTACTAATGTGTCCCTTTACTGCAGATGCAACTCTATAAAGTATTTAATCTGCAACCTCTTCAGAGATTTCTTCTGTTAGTGGCTCTTCTCAGACCAAGGTAATTTCCCTGAGCATTTGTACAGATCTGGGTGTTGTGACCTGACTGACACTAAAGAAGCTCATTTTTCTAGAACAAGTCTGTTTTCTCTGTGAGCTGACCTAACACAAAATAGGGTGAGGTGTATCTCCTCTGTCACTGAGGCTTGTAAGCCCAGCAGCAGGTAGTGGGGAATGTGCTGAAGCTTCATTGGAGGTTTTGTTTTCTCCAGAAAATCCTTCATATCTGGCTGCTGAGCAGAGCTAACAAGCAGCCTTGACAGTTCTCTGCTTCTCAATGTCTGTCTCATCTCTGAGCTGTGTAGGAGTTTGCAAAGGCAGATTAATATTTAACGTACCTGGAGTCTTTGATCTTTCAATTGGAGTCTGAATACATCTAAATCCTCATAAAATGCAGACAGAGGAGGTGATGCTGCCTTTTATTCACTGATGCAGAGACTGGAGCACCCTCCTAATTTCAATTTCTTCTTCCATCTCAGGCTGTTTAATTCTGCTCTCCAGCTTGTCTGTCAAGAAACCTTATCACCAGTCTGCTGGGTGCTCATGCTGAAACTGCCTAATTTCCAGGCTTTCAGCTGTGTATCTGAACCACTTGGCTTGAAAGCCTCTCTGTCTGATCTTCTGAATCCTGAAGTGCCCCTGCTACAAGAAAAAGGTGGGATGCCCTTCCTAGGATGTCCTGCATGCTGGTGACCAGGTGCTCTTCTGGGCTGTGGGGTGGGACCTGCAGGCTGAGGCAGGTAGGACACACATCCTCTGTTTGCTCAGCCCACAAATCCTTTCTCTCAAGGGTGGCTGCTGCTGAGGTTTAAGCACCTACATTCAAGTGTCTGGAAGAGCCTTCCAGGCATGAGTCTCTGGCATATCCTCCTGGCTGGCTGTTGCAACCACAACTCACTGGTTTTCCTATAGGGAGCACCGGTCCCTAGCTTGGCATTACGAAGGCTGTTCCTGCTATGGACTCCCTCACTTTCTAGTCAACCAGCGCTAACTATTCAAGTGCCAAGACTGACCTTAGAAACCTTTGAAGGTCTGGAGAAACACCCTTCTCCTCAACCTTTTTTACTGGCTATTTTTTTGTTGCTCTCTCTTTTACTTGCTGATGGTTGTGAATCACAGACAGGAAAAAGAGGTAGGACTGTCCACGGTGGATACAGTGAGCTTCTCTAGGCTGCAAGATACACCAAGATGCAGTGCCTTGTACTCTGGGATTAGGAGTCTTCTCCTGGGGAGATGTAGCCAGATTCGAGCTTAATGTATGTAAAGTAATTTTAGTATGCACATGAAAGTATTTTGGAGGAAAGTGCTCTCACAGAGATTGATACTTCAAAACTATATCAAGACTGTGTTCAAATAATTTGTATAACCTTAGAAAATAGCTGTAAAGTGGCCAGCAACCTGACTTGATTTCTAGTAATTCTGGCTGGCCCTGTGCATAGGCAAGAGAGGACCAGCCTCAGAACAGCAGAGGACAGCAACACAGCAAATATTTTCCTGCTGGTTTTGTCTGTCAGAGCCTTGAGGAGCTGACCTGGTTGCTCCTTCTCCATGGCATCCAAATTTCCATTACTTTTCCCTTTCCTCCCCAGCTATTGCTGTTCTATGTGTTCACCTTTATCATAGAATCATAGAAAGGCTTGGGTTGGAAGGGACCTTAAAGATCTTCCAATTCCAATCCCCCTGCCATGGGCAGAGACATCTTCCACTAGACCTGGTTGTTCAGGGCTCCATGCAACCTGGCCTCGAACACTTCCAGGGATGGGGCATCCACAACTTCTGTGGGCAACCTGTTCCAGTGCCTCACCACCCTCACAGTAAAGGATTTCTTCCTAGCATTTAATCTAAATCTCTCCTCTTTCAGTTTAAAGCCATTCTCCTTTGTCCTATCTCTGTCTGCTTGTGTAAAAAGTCACTCTCCTTTTTTTCATAAGACCATTTTAAGTACTGGAAGGCCACAATGAGGTCTCCCAAGAGCATTCTCCTCTCCAGGCTGAACAGCCTATCTTCATAGGAGAGGTGCCATTTCTCTGATCATATTTGTGACCCTCCTCTGGATCCACTCTAATGGCCCATGCCTGATTTTAAGGAATGCCCTCTACCTCTGGTTCCTCATGATTGGGTGACAAAAGTCAAGTTTGCCTGCACTCTTGAGAAGCCTTGGGTGATATTGCTGCAATTGTGACAAAACTTATCATGGCCTAAATATATGAACAGCAGTTCCACAGTCTTCTGGATATTTTTTCAGGTTGACAAAGCTTGTCTATGAAGCAGTTCATGGCTGGCCCGTTAGAGGAGCACATGGTGTGTTGTGGAAATCTCCAGATTTCCGTGTTCCTCCCTTGCCCCATGGGAGGATTACCCAGCACCCGAGATTTTCCCTAGCATTTCCTACCCCACTGTAGCTCACTAGATTATGACTGTATTGAGATCTCTTGACCTTAGAGCTCTTCCCAGGTCCAAGCATAGACACCACCTTTTTAAGGCATGGGCCTTTAGCTGCAGCTCTCTCTCCTTTGGAAGGAAAGATGGGGAAAAGATTTGGGTCAAAAGGGGCTCACAAGTCTTTGCCCCAGATCTGGATGATCAGTGAGAGCTTAGGGGTGTGTTGTGGAGTCCCCCTTCTCTGCAGTGTGGGTGGGTGTAGCTTCAGATGGTGTAGCAAGGGTGTTGTGAGGCAGAACAACTTGACCTGGGACTCATGCCATACCTTCCACACATGAGAAGGGAGACAAAACCTGCTCCCATCAGACCCCCTTTCTGCAGTCTCCTAGGGGATAATGGAAGTACAAACTAGACAGTAATTCAGAGGAACAATTTATTCCCGCAACTTCAAAGTCATCTACATGGTCTTGCTGCTAAGATATCTGTTATGCTGTTTAATACCTTCAGATCATCCCAAAATTAACAGTTCCACCGTCCTAGACCCCAAATATGTTAAGTCATACAGACCCATGTACTGGTCCCATACCTGTACCTAATCTTACTTGACTTATTTTTGAAGAGATTCAGGGAGAGGAGAGTAATATAGCTCTAGATATAAAATGCACATGTCTGTATTGTAGCTATAAAAGATGATATACAGGTACTTCCTCTTGAAAACCTGATATGACTTTCAGCTTATTTGTGTAATACAGAGTTTTGGTGAAAGAAGGACTGGAAAAACATACCAGAAGTACATAAATAACACTTTTATGAAAGTATTTCCACAGGCCCCCTAACTACTGTCTTTTGATGGTCCTTTCACACAAACTCCATTTCTGTGCTGTTATTTTCTGAGACATCTCTTCACAGCCTAATTTCAGGCAATCCATTCACTTGTAGGCTTAGACAAGGGGATGTTTCAAAGGTGATTCTCTTCAGGAGTTATTGAAGACTCTGATGTAACTTCATTGCATGATACAGTGAAATATTACCTGCTTTCCACTCTCAATGACTTACATGAGGGCTATTGCATCAGACAATTTGCTGGGCATAATTCCAGTGCTCAGGTAGATGGGAAGTGAAGTTTCAGGCATTGAAGTAGGTCTCATCTTCTATTGACTTGCCTCTTTAGAGCAGTATCCACTCTTTCTAAGTGGGAACTTAGTACTAACATCTTTTAGTGCAAGGCCAGGTGGCCAGGAAGGCAAATGGCATCCTGGCTTGTATCAGCAATAGTGTGGCCAGCAGGACCAGTGCAGTGATTGTATCCCTATACTTGCCACACCTCAAATCCTGGGTTCAGTTTTGGGCCTCTCACTACAAGAAAGCCATTGAGATGCTGGAGGGTGTCCAGAAAAGGACAATGGAGCTGGTGAAGGGTCTGGAGCACAAAGTCCTGTGAGAAACAGCTGAGGGAGCTGGGATTGTTTAGACAGAAGAAAAGGAGGCTCAAGGGAGACCTTATGGCTCTCTACAGCTACCTGAAAGGAGTTTGTGGTAGGGTGGGGGATGGTCTTTTCTCCCAAATAACAAGCAATAGGATGAGAGGAAATGGCCTCAAGTTGTGCCAGGGGAGGCTTAAATTGGATATTAGGAAAAATTTCTTTGTGGAAAGGTTGTCAGCCATTGGAACAGGCTGCCCAGGGAAGTGGTTGAGTCACCACGCCTGGACATATTTCAAAGATATGTACATGTGGCACTTAAGGATATGGTTTAGTAGTGGACTTGGCATTGCTGATTAATGGCTGGACTTGATGATCTTAGAGGTCTTTTCTGGTCTAAACAATTATATGATTCTAAGCCCATATACTGTATTTTTTCTGTTCACCTTTCCAGATTCCTGTCTCTAATGAGAAACCCGAACATACAATTGTCCATTATTAGCATTGCTTAATCTCCTTGTTAACTAAATTTCTTCTGAGCTTTATCTCACCCAATCTAATGGCAAAACAAACTGCTAAATGTGCTGCTGCAAGTTGCATGTGTGTCTGAGGAACACACAAACTGCTTGGAGGAGCTGCATGTGTTCTTCTCATGCTGTGTGGATTGTGGCATGCAAAAATACGTTGTGTTAGTAGAAAGATGCTGCATGTGTTCAGAAACTGTTGAGAGTCTTTGGAATTCTTATAACTGTTTACTCATTCTTTTGTTTAGGAGTCAGTGACCTGTAAGTGCTCATTATGAAGAGAGATCTGGTTTTCTTGGTGACTCTAATTAGCCTTGCCTTCCTGTCACTACTAAGGTCTGGATATCCTCAACACATTGCAGAGGAGTCCTGCTCTGTTCAGATTCTTGTTCCAGGCCTCAAAGGTAATGTGAAAGCCTTCTCCATTATTCAAATATTAATCTTTTTCTTCTAACAGGCTCATTTGCACCACTGACAGTTTCTAACAGAGACAAAGAAGGTGCCTTTCAGTTGCCCTCTTATTTGTTCCATTTGTAGCCTCCTTAAAAATGGAGTTTTAAGGTACATAAGGTGAAATTAAATCTGTCAAAATAAACATGGTTCGGAGAATGCATACGAATCTCCCAAATTTACTCCTGATCAGCAGTGCTTGTTACTCTGATACACTACCTGGCTACTCTCTCTGGGTTTATACTCAACAGTGATACACATAGCCAAAGACTGCAAAATCAGGCCCTACTTTATTTTACCTGGAGAGGTTTTAATTTCCGTGTTGCAATGTAATGTGAAGTATTTTGTGTTTTCTAGTATTTTGTATTATCTTGATTTTTAAAAGCTCTAATACCTTTTAGAAGAAAGAAAACAGTAGTAAGGTTTTTGGCATTTCTATAGTTTTTGTGGAAAAAGACAACATTTTTATCAAATATACCCCTAAACTATTGCCCAAAGAAGATGGTATAATAAGTTATTGATCTTTTCATAGCAAAAATATACCTTACATAAGAAATCAACCAGTGGGAAGAATTAGCATTTTAAAGCAACAGCATCCATTACAGTGAAATTCCAACCCTGTTTAGTCAATAACAGTAATTTCCCTTGTGAAAGCTATAGTATTTCTATTGGAATTTAGCACCTATGAATGTGGGAAAGTACTTGTTAACTAAGGAAAAAAACCCCATAAATCCTACTAGTTTATCCTTAACAATATATCAAAAAAGCATTGTTTAAGAACCACACAATGAACCTTCCATTTTCTTCTTGTAATTTTGCCTTGTACTATCACAAAACTCACCTAATCAGGAGCAATGCTATTAATCTTTTCTAGTACAAACCTGGGCTTTACCCAGTTGCCTGAGGAGCATAATATGAGCTGCAGGCACTGTCTGTTCTGGTTACCTGATTGGTAAGAGAAGGCTCACTTCTGCTCTGCAGTTTTTCATATAGTTAAATTTTGAGCACAGCCTGGCCATAGATTTGGCTGTAGTGTAAACTACCCTCTCTAGACATTGCCCAATTTGTGTATTGCTGCCCTGTGCTTGAAGCAAGAGAATTGGGCTATAGGGTGAGGGTTCTGCTTGGCCAATTGGCTTTAGGAATAAAAAAGCCCTTTGTTTATTCATTATTATTTATTGTTGTTTTGTTTATTATTATAGATGCAGTTTTGGATGCCTGAACTCAACCAAAAGCTATTTTTTCTATTTACTTCAATAAGTGACTTTTGAAGTCTTAATAGTATTTAGACTTTCTGCAGATGTCCTACTTATAAAGGACAACACTATATCCTCAATTCTGAGGTTTGATTAAGACTTGAGTAATTTGTTTAATATGTTTACTGTGGAAAAGGCACAAGATAGTGCTGTTAATGTGACTACAGTGGAGAACACAAGCTAGTTAAATATATGTTGTCCAAAATTACATGAAAGATCAGTTGAAGGGTCAGACTCCACAGCACTGGGGACTGAAGCTTTGAAATGACTTTTCATTTCAAAGAAGTTGACAGGCTTGGACAAGTTTTGTGACCTCTTTGCCTTAGTTTCCTTATTTGTGTAATCAGTCAAAATTAACATCTGTGATTATCATTTTAGTGCAAGGATCATTATTATTATTATTATACACAGCAGAGGTTTTTAAAGTGTATAAACGGTGCAGGACCCTGACCCTTTGGCAAAAGGCAATTCTGAACCTGGAAAGCAGAAATAGGCCTGAAAACCATCATATGTTAATGATTTCACTCCATTTCATGAGATGTAAGCCTTGCAAAATTGAGAGAGATTGATGTACAAATTCAGTGAAGCACAAAATGGCCTGATACAGCCCTAGTTAATGTGAAATCCCCAAAAAGCTCTCAATGATCCAGCTATGCTGTCAGAGGGACTGGCTGAGAGAAGTGACAATGCTGTCCCCCACTGGCACAACTCCAACCCATTTCAGTGGCCAAGGCTTCCTTTAAACTGAGCAGATGTTGGCTATGTGCCCAAATTTCAGCTCCCATGCAGTGGGATTTGTTCACTGCAGCTTTTAGATCTGCACCATCTCCTCCTCAGCTGGAGTGCCAGCAACATCTCCAATGGTGGGGGGACAGAGCACCATACTGCTGCTGGGCATGACACTGTCAGGATTTGGGAAAAATAGGTACAGGGAAGAAATGGAAGAAATTAGGGAGACCATGGGATATGAGAATGGCAGAAGACAGAAGCTGAAGAGGTGGTGAAGAAAGTGGAGCCCAAATGGAGTGGTGAAGGAGAAAGTCATCAGGGAAAAGTACCCAAAAGCACGGAGAATTTTAGAAGAACAGGAAGAGATACAGGGGGAAAAAACCCTAAACAAACAAAAAACCAGAAAAGCAGAAAGAATGAGACCAAATGAAAAGACTGGAAACTCGGGAAAAAAAAAAAAGACACAAAACCAATTAAGAGCCCACAGAAAAAAAGAGAGAATCAGAAGGGGCATGAGATGAGAATGGAGGTGGAAATGGATGATGAAGAAAACCAGTAAAGACATCAAGACTAGAAAAAGCACAAATGAGTTTAAGGTCAGCAGTTCAGGTCTTAGGGACTAGGTTTGTTTTTTATTCGCGCGTTGTTTTTTTTTTTTTTTTATAAACTCGATAGTATAAAGGAATAAGATGAAATGAGCAACGGGAAAACCATGGCTCTGAGAAGGCAGACAGCAGACTGAACCATGTTTTAGAAAGCTGACAGTATTAATAGTGGGAAAAGTGTGTTGTGTGTGAAAAGGGGATGGATGATGAAGCCTTGCTACATAGCTCACTCATATTCCTCCTTAGGTCCAGTTCCTCTTGATTGATCCATGAAATCGAAGTTACTACTATTGTGGAGAAAAAAAAATAACATGGAACAATCCTTGAATGCTTAAATTCTCAGTTTGCTACCTTGTTTTGTCTCCCTTTTAGAATCTAAAGCAGTAATTGTCTTAATAGTCTGAATGACATTCAATACATAAAAAAGTTGATGATAGATAAATAAAACCAACAGTATTTTACACCCACACATGATGCATCTACTCACCCAGGGAATATGAGTAATGGAAGAAAGTTATCACCAGCCAAGAATGCTTAATAGCTCACATAGTTAATATTTGGTGTGCTATTTTCATTGCGCATAGATGGTACAGCTTAAGAGAGACAGGATATGAACATAAGCATAGGCAAATCCTGTGCCAAAGAATCCACAAAAGAGGGCAAATAAACAGCAATGGTAAGATATATCACCTGAATTAAGAAAGATCTTTCCCAGAGATGATGGAAGAAGAAGACTGTAGTAGTGTCAAGGCTGTGCCTGATACCCGTGATCCTACTGCAGCTCAGTTTGGTGGCAGGGCTAAATTTCTTTCTCAGCACTGTGGAGCACTGCTAAGCACATCTCACCGTCTCAGCTGCACTGTGCTGATGAAGAAGGTACTGTTTTATGCAGTGGGGCTGAAGCAAAGAGGCATCCAGAAAGCGATGGAGAGGAGATTGAGCAGGAGATATGACTGCAAAGGGACTGTGTCTGGCAGAAAAGGCCACAACAGAGCAATTGGGTAGGGACTGTGATGCACAGATCCCAACCTCTTGCTCTGAAGCGACGTGGTTGTAGACCAGAAGAGGCTGGAGACCAGAAAGTAGGCACAGAGGTGTCTTTCTCTAATGTATGAATCAAAAGTTAAAGTTATTGTTAATTGGTGAGATATTAAATTGATTGAAATTCCTTAACAGAAAACTGGGGTTTTGCCCATGACACCTGCACAGGCTTTGCTTCCTCAGCTTGCACAGTGCCCAGGATATATACAGCAAAAATAGGGACTTAAATGTGACAAAGCTGAGCTGGACCACTGATCAGTTCCTCTTGGCCAAGGTCTTGCTCCTTAAAACACATTATAACAAAAAGTGCAGAGTGGTCTCTTGCTGGGCCTGTAATGGGGTAATCTCCTCCCAGAGAAAGTTTCTAAAACACCCACGCTAAGGAACGTGGTGCCATCTTATTATAGGAATAAATGCAGGCAAGTGTAATGGCCTGAAGCAAGAGTGATCTATTTTATTGATCCCTAATGCACAGCTTTCATTCTGAAGAACGTGTAAAGCAATAGGCTGTAATAGCCTGCTCTCAGCCTCCAGAGAGCAGAGAAAAGTCATTGTCAGGATTTATCTTTGGGAAGCAAAGAACTCATAACCAGCCCTGAGGGGTGAAAGGCAATCATACAAAGCCTATTGGTTACCTGATAATAAAAATGTGACGTTCCCAAATGTGCCAAATTATAGCCTGTTTCATACTAACAATATTATTCACTGGGGATTATGTGAAGTTTGTCCTCATTAAGGTCAGAGAATGGCCTATTTTTGCATGTCTGAAGGCAGGGAAGATGGTCTGGAGCCTGCTGACAGCCTGAAGAATGAAAATATAACAGACGGAGGACCAAGTTCAGTTCACAGCCATCTAGGTCTACAATAAGGAGAGAGACAGAAAGAGAGCTGGAGGCTGTGTATTTGAAACGTGCCATGTTGTGGCATGCCATCTTTCTGGCCCCTCTCTGAACTATAGCTGCCAGCTATGCCAGAGAGCAGAGAGCAGCTGTGCCAGCTTGTGGGGTGCATGATAACCTTTGACTTTCCTGCTGTGGTGCTCCCCTCAGCTTCCTGGAGAGCAATTAATAACTCTCCTCTACAGAAATGCAGTGGTGAGGCATCGTGTGTGCTGTGCTGGCTCTGGGTTTTAGATACCGGCATCTTAATTTCTATGGGAGCCATAGAACTTTCTTTTCCTTCATATAAATCTTTTTTTGTCAAGGTGGCTGTGTAAATCATTCTTTAAACTTCTGTTTGTGAAAGAAATTTTAAGTCAATGGCAAACTACAATGGTAGGGGGCAAGAGGAGCTAAGCATCCTCAAATTTTCAATGAAAGGAACCAGGAAGGAAAACATTTACAAAACCTGATGTTTAAATATGGAGACTATAATGATGCGCCATGAGCCACGTGCATGTCAGTACACTGCATAGTGGTTCATTCCTCAGAGGTTATAAGGCACAGTATACACTGAGGATATGGAGTAGGTAGTTACTCTTTCATGCTTAGAAATGATCCTTTAAATTATGGATGTAGCAATACCTTTTTATAGGTCTGATGAATGGCATTTTCTAAAAAAAATGAGATTATAGCTAAGTCATTTGCACTTGAGACTTAAGCATGTCCTTAGCAGAGGCTCAAAGTGTTTGATGAACACAGACCCAGAAGTTTATGTGCTAAGCTGGGGCCTAATTCTGAAGATTCTACTTAAGTAAATGGTGCTGTTTTGTAGGTTGATGATACAAGTAACATCCACAAAAATAGACCTGTTGTATAAGACTTCAGCAATGTGGTGACTTAGGGTTTGTCTATATTTACTCCAACTGAAGAAAATTCTGTTCTCTGTGCATCAAGTAAGGCTGTTAAATCAGATTGCATCTGCTTTTTTTTTTTTCACTGGAGAGAATGGCACTCTTGTCACTGCTGCTAACAGAAAATAGTCCTGGTTTAATATGATTCTTCTTTTTGTTTCCTTTTGTATCAATAGGGGAGGCTGGAGAAAAGGGGGAGAAAGGTGCTCCAGGTCGTCCAGGCAGAGTTGGACCTCCAGGAGAAAAAGGTAATTTTGTTAAAGAAGATGTTTTGAAAGTCATTCCTGACAAAATGCTGTCTTTTCTTGTGAGGTGATGATGATGGGAATCCTCTCTCCCTTTGCTGGGTGACTAAAACATCCTTGGCCATTTTTGTTTACTTTTGTTGTGGTTTAACCCCAACTGGCAGCTCAGCCGCATGTAGCCACTCACTCTCTTCCCCCCAGTTTGGATGGGAGAGAGAATTGGAAGGGTAAAAGTGAGAAAACTCATGGGTTGAGCCATGCACAAGCAAAGCATAACAAGGAATTCATTCACCAGTTCCTATAGGCAGACAGGTGTTCAGCCATCCCCAGGAAATCAGGGCTTCATCACATGTAACAGTGACTTGGGAAGACAAACACCATCACTCTGAACAACCACCCCCCCTTCCTTCTTCTTCCCCCATCTTTATATACTGAGCACAATGCCACATGGTAGGGAATTTCTCTGGGGTCCTGGCTGTGTCCCCTCCCAGTTTCTTTTGTGCCCCCAGCCTGCTTGCTGGTTTGGTGGGATGAGGAGCAGAAAAGACCTTAACTCTATGCAAGTACTGCTCAGCAATAAAGATTACATTTCTGTGTTATCAACATTGTTTTGGTCACAAATCCAAAATATAGCACAATACCAGCTACAATGAAGAAAATTACAGTATACAGTACATACAGTACAACTGTATGCATTCCTTTGTAGACTAAGTATTACTTTCTGGTCAAAAAGATTCATTTGGAAATAAAAAAAAAAAGTCTTGATTTTTTAGAAAGGTCTCTGAAGAAAGACATCATAATGTCTTCTTCATAATTTACCTTCTGCAAATGAAAACCTCACATGAGACCAGAGGGAAAAAAATCACAAGGTTCAATTTTCTTGTTTCCTTTTTTTTTTTTTTTGTGAATGTGAACACTCATTAATGAAAACCATTGAGGGAAGGCATAATAGGCAGAGATGGCCATGAGTGTTTCCACATATTTTGGATCACAGTTCTGTAGTATCTATGGAAAAATGGTGATAAGGCTGTGTGCATTGTAGTTCAAAAATATTTGGAGCTCTTGAGAGGAATGGTGCTCAATAGTGTTCAGTTATACAGTGAGAGAAACATGGCATTGCTGTCTTGCAGGAAATGCTGTCTTTTCATGTTTGTTTTCCTCCTGAAGCAAGGAGGAAATTTGACCTTCATAAGTTTTCCAGGAGGTGCGTTTTCTGAAAGGTTCACATTAAGAGTAGTCAAAACCTTTTATTTCGATATCGAAATTAAAGGTTTGATATTCCTGTCATCAGAACGATGGTGTGAGTTAGTTTTTACTGATCTGAGTTTACAATCTTCCTTTCAAGGCAATCATAGTGGTAATTTATACTTCCTTATGATAATGCATGATCTCTTGTTGTTCTTTTAGGCAATTATGGGAGTCTGATACCTGTAATTTTCCCTGGGACCAAAATCCATAGCTAGAGCTCTTCCCCCTACAATGCATTGAAAAATTTATAACTCCCATGAGATATATGTGTGTTCAGTCAGTGTACTTACCTTATGTAGGTGTACTTTCAAGGACAACTGCTAGAAAAAATATTGGAAACTAAAATTTCAGCTCTTGAAAGGTAATGCAGCATGAAGTTAAAGTATGACAGAATAATTTAGATTAAAAGGTTGTAAAGAGCTCATCTAGTCCAATCTCCTGCTTTAAACAGGGCAGATGTCAATATTAGAGTAGGTTGCTCGGGGGTTTTTTCCAGTAGACTTTTGAAAATCTCCATGGATGGAGATTCCACATCCTTTTTGATCAGTCTGTTGAACAGTTTCGTCATGAAAGATCTTTTCCTTGAAGCCTACTGAAATTTTTCCTGTTGTAGCTTGTAATCATTGAATCTTGTCCTTTCTCTATGAGTCTCTGAGAACAAAATGCTGCATCTTCTCTAGAAACTGCTTGTAAGTAGTGGAAGACTGCAATTAGGTCCCCCCTTACCTTTCTGTACTGCAAGCTAAGCAAAACCATCTTTCTCAGTTGGACTCTGGTTTGTTTCCCATGTATGAGGGCCCAGAAGTCTCTGGGTCCTTTTATGCAAAGGAGTTTTTTTAACCAGCCATTGGGCAGACTTCATCAATGCATAACAGGTGAGGAATTTAGCTGAACCCATGGTATTCCTGTCAATGTATTTCTGTAGCGTGTCGAGCTCTTCCTGACTGGCAGCGGTGTCCTCCAGCGCACCATTCCTGCCAGCATGGAGCTCATTCCTCTTCTTCCTCCTGTCACTGGTGAAGGACTGGTTCCTGAGGAATGGCATTCCTGCTGATTAGACTTTGGCAGCCTTGCAGCAGTGCCAGATAGCAGTCTCATCGCCCTTGAATGCTTCTGGGCAGTGCCATGGACCTGTGTGCATCCAGGTGAAGTAGTTCCTCACTCAATCATCCAATGCCAGGAGTGGCATGTCCTCCTCAGATCTTTGCTACCAGATGTGCAGAACTGGGAGGCCAGAGAGCAGATTTTGCTGGTAGAGACAAAGAATGCACTAAGTGCCTCTGCCTTCTCAGCCTCCTTCGGCACAAGGTTGTCTTAACCTCTTGAGAACCTCTCTCGTTGTGCTGTCTTGCATGTTTCTCTAGCTTGGTAGTTTGTCAAATCCCTTCAAAATGCTTTAGACCATCTGAAAAGTGGAAGTACTCTTTTTCAGTCAGGCCAACCCATTATGTAGCATTTCATTTATTTATTTTATACTGCTAAATTGGATTTATTTGGAAAATCGTTCTCATAAGGAATGCTTAATTAACTCTAATAGTAATGATAATTTTCCAGTTTTCCATACCTCCAAAAGTCCAAAATTTTGATGAGATTAAAGGAAGGGACACTGAAGTGGAAATATACTGCAAGAAAACACAGTTTCAACAGAAAAGAGATGAGAGAAAATCAAATATTAATGCATACTGTATTGGTATTTTTCCATGATTTGCTTTCAGTTAAACACAGGCAAAATTTCTTACTACACCTGTAGCAACATATTTTTTCAGCTTTCCTTTATGCATCCAGAAATGTCTACAAACAGCGTCTTGTTTTAAATAAATTCTAATTAACTAGTTTTTCATTAATGCTGTACATTATCAGAATTACATTCATGTTTTTTTTTCTGTTACCTTTCTTTGTTTCATTTTACTAGCAAGTTCATTTAAGAAAATATGCTTAATTTCTTAGAACTCCATAGGTATGTAATAACAAAATAACTTACAAAAGAAATGGTTTTCTTATGGTATATTAGACCTGAAATGAACAGCTCAAGATTAGAAAGTGCTGCAAATATTTTTATCATACCCTTTCCTCATGACATGTTCAAATTTTGGTAACTCAGAAACTGAGAAACATTAAAAGTTTCTGGTGCTTACCTGAAATAAATCTTGTTCTGACTGTCCTGATGCTTCAGGGTGACATCAGAGATACAGATGTCTTTGGATACTGATTAAGGTTAAATTCCACTTACTTTCTTCATTGCTTTTAATTAATTGTATAGGTCAATTATGATGCATAGCATGTCAGCAGAATATAAAACTGTGTTGGCCTTATGTAAAGCATAAAGCACTGTATCAAGTACAATGGCTGTTTCAGACAAGCAGTGTGTATTGCAGTGCAAGTTCTGGGGTGTGAGGTTCATGGAAGTACCTGTCACTACGTGCACAGATGTCTGTACTGTGCTTTCCCATGTTGGGACTGAACTTCATTATTTCACTGAGTCATGATGCAGTCTGTGAGGCCATAACTTCCATGTATACAAATTCCACACAGATAGTTCAGTAACAGTACAGTCCTGTGAATATTCCTAGAGTACTTTATGACAATCAAAATAAAGGGGAGAGGGTGAATTTGCTGTTGGAATGCATCATCAAAGGAACAGTACATTAAAAATATGTTCTTCAAGACATTTTAATTTTCTTAGAACTGTAGCCATTTGAAAATGCATTATTTTAGTATTTTAAGTTCAGCCTTTTTACATTGGATTTCATTTATACTCAATTATAATGGTATGTTAAGAAAAGTCTCATCCCGTTCTTGGGCTTGGAACTCAACTGTCTGTACCTTTGCAGTGTTAACACAGCAACACTGACTTTGGCTTTTGCCAGCTAACACTTTCCCAGGTAATTCTTGGGCATATTTCAGGAACTGTCACAATGAGCAGCTTGCAAGTGATTATCCTGGCTTGAAGAGTAAGGCAATTTAGTATCGTGGAGTGTACCATTCTCAGCCACCTAGTTCCCACTGCCAGGGAACAGTCCCAGGCATTTAGTTTACTAGTACAGGCAGAGCCTCTTAAGTAGGAGAGAAGACTCATTAATTTAACTGGATTGGAGCCAGAGTGCTCAGTCATTTGTATAATCAAATTCTAAAAAGAGGCAATAATATCTTAATTTATATTTTATTATTACTGATTGCTCATTAATATGTAATCAATCAATCCTTTGCATTTCTGAGTCAACTTTTACATGAATTTATTGTTCGCTAGGGAGTGCTGCAGGCAGTATTCCATGTAAAAGTCCTGACATTGACAGTTGTGAATTCACAAAGTGGGTATCTGGTTCAAAACTGTCTTTCAGTTCCACCTGAACTCAACAGGATTTTGAGAAAATCTGTGGTAAACTGAGTGGACAAAAAAATGGCAGATGGGTTTCAATGTAAATAAATATCTTGCCTAGGGACATTAGGGATGCATAATTTAATCCACACTTACATGATGCCAAAACCCAAAACTGTCACTTAAAACTCAAGAACTGCACTGAAGTCATTAGCAGCAGTCCCAAAGCCAACAGAACACTGCCCATTATCAGAAAAGACACCAAGGACAAAACAGGGAACTACTTTTTGCAGCTGGTTTTGCTCTGTGTAAAATCCTGAAATACACTGTCTCAAGTAATGAGTGTGGCTCTGGCCTCTGTCTCTCAAGAAGGACATGAGAGGTAAGAGAAGGGCACCAAAAATGTGAAAAAGAACAGCTGCCTCATAAGGAGAAACTGGACAGGTTGAGATTCTTGCATGTGTACAGAGGAGTCTGAGAGGGTTGTGATCAAGGTTACAGAATCCCCAGATCCCATCATAGCTGAAGCTGCTGGGGACTGATCCAGCACTCCACCTGTAATACACTTCAAATAGTGGATGGGATTGTGTGATCTCCCTGTATTGCATCTTTTGCTGCCACCACAGGAAACAAAGTCTTGGGCTAGAGGGATCACTGGTCTGAGCAAGCTCAGTATTACATTGTTAACATAATTCTAGCAAGATAGGTGTTTCATGAGGGCAGTTATTTGTCTTTATGTGCATCTGACTACAAACTCCTCCACTCAGGAATGTACCATACTATTTTCATTTCTTTTGTTTTGAGTGTACTTTAAAATCCTTTAAACGTTTTTGCTACCTTCTTAGATTGTATTTTTCTCTCACTCTCTTTAGTTTTCTTAGCTATTCTGTTTTCTAGTCAGTATGGATTAATAATAGTCTACTCTTTTTTTCCCTCCTGTTTTTTGTGCAAAGCTTTTAAAGTTTCACTTTGTCATTAAACTACCAGTCTGCAACAAGTGAGATGGATCACTGCTGAGAGGTGTTTATTTCTCCATTGCCTACCATGGGAGCTTAGATAAACAGTTTAGACTAAAAAACCTAACTTTCAGGTGGCTAATGCTGGGTGAATGTAGTTGGCTTGCCTCAACTACATAAAATGCCACCTGGGATTATGCACTGTTCGTTCACATAAGAATATATGTTTAACATCTTTGTCAACAATACGGACAGTGCACCCTCAACAAGTTTGCCAATGATGCCAAGCTGAGTGATGCAGCCAACACACTGGAGGGAAGGGATGCTATCCTGAGGGACCTTGACAAGCTTGAGAGGTGGGCCTGTGTGAACCTCATGAAGTTCAACAAGGCTGAGTGTGAGGTCCTGCGCCTGAGTCAGGGCAATCCCAAGCACAAATGGAGAATGCATGGAGAATGGATTGAGAGCAGCCCTGAGGAGAACTCGGGGGTGTTGCTTTATGAAAAGCTTAACATGGCCCAGCAATGTGCGCTTGCAGCCCAGAAAGCCAGTTGTATCCTGGGCTGCATCAAAAGAAGTGTGGCCAGCAAAAATTGATGGAAGTGATTCTCCCCCTCTAGTCTGCTCTCATGAGACTCCACCTGGAGTGCTGTGTCCAGCTCTGGTTCCCCACCTTAAAAAGGACATGGACTTGCTGGAACAAGTCCAGAGGATGGCCATGAACATGATCAGAGGGATGTGGCACCTCTACCATGAAGAAAGTCTAAGAGAGTTGGACTTTTTCGTCCTGGAGAAGAGAAGGCTTAGTGTAGACCTTATAACACCTCCAGTACAGAGGAGATCTGCAACAGAGCTGGAGAGGGAGTTTTTACAAGGGCATGTAATGATAAGACAAGGAGGAATGACTTTAAACTGAAAGAGGGCATATTTAGATTAGATATTGGGAAGAAATTCTTTACCGCGAAGATGGTGAGACACTGGGATAGATTACTCAGAGAAGTTGTGGTTGCCCCATTCCGGGTAGTGTTCAACGCCAGGTTGGATGAGGCTCTGAGCAACCCAGTCTAGTGGAAGATGTCCCTGCCCATGGCAGGGGTGTTGGAACTAAGTGATCTTTAAGGTCCCTTCCAACCCAAACCAATCTGTGATTCTACGTAAGATGTAACTATGTTGTAACCACTGTTCCCTCACTAATCATCGACCTTCATTGGTGTGGATAATTCAGATTATTTACCATAAAGTGGTGCTGTAATTTATTGGTGTATGAGAATTTTCTAATTTCCAGTTGCCAGTAAAAGTTAAGTGTCCTGAACGTAGATTACTACTATAACATAATTAAATCCTTTAAAAATACCATTCTCATTCAAGTTTGGTTAACTATTTGCATTGGGAATACTGACTACTGCAAGACTGTCAAGGTACACTCTGGGAAAGACTTTTTAATCTTCGCCTGTATCTTATGTTCTTTTTCTAAGTATCCTCTGCAGATTGCTGTCAAAGATGGCACTAGAGTCAAGAGGCCTTTGGTGTGGTTTGGTACACTTCTACTTTCCTTGTTAGGTAGGTGTCTGTGGTGTCCTCTAATCATGAAGAATTTCTGATTTGTCTTCAAATCATTAGTAAACTACTGCTCTCTTCTCTTTGACACAATTCAATTAAATTTGTCTGTGACATGATGAATTTGTGTTTCTGCTGGATTTGCCTTTCTGACACCTTTTTATTTTTCAAAGTAGTTTTATACCTTCTTTTCTGTTCCAGTTAATCCTATCTGAAGTGATTGCCATACTGTATGAAGACCCCCATCTATAGTGTTGCACAGAGCCAAAACCCTAATTTTTTTCCCTGGTTGTGCAGCCCACCGTTTGTCTCTGGTATTTTATATCTTCCTTTGTTGTTGTTGTTATTGTTGTTGTTTTTTCTTTGAGCCTGAAAAAGCCACCAAGAAGATAATTTAGCGTTTTCTTATCTTCAGTTCCTTCTAAAATCCTTTAAGTCTTCTATAATTGGTTCCAATGTATGCCATCTTCATCTGGGAGATAACAGATGACTTGCTTCATATTCTCCATTAGAACTTCATGTTCAACTTCCCACTTTTGGTCTATGGAGAATTAATTTCTTTTATTGTCTTCATTTCTTTTCAGCTCTTACTTCCTGATTTCATTAAGACTCTTCACACTGCATTTCTGACAACCAGGGCCACTAAAAAGTGCTTTACAAAAAGTATTAAAACTTTTGAAACCCTCAAGGCAGATGGGTCTCTCCTGAAACATTGTGATTTAGTCTGCAGAATCAGAATAAGGAATCCCCTGGAGTGGAAGCAGGGGTTAGTCACTGTAAGAGAAAACCAAATCCAAACAGTTCTTTTAATGAGCACAGGTCTAATGTATGTCTTCATTGCTTGAGATAACACAGTTTTACTTCTGAGCAGATCACGTAGCTTTTACTGGCTATGACCGAGAAGCAGCTCATTTTCTGGGCAGTATTTATGAAAAAGAAAGTGAATTAATTTTATATATTGTATTTTATTTATGCATTAGATCTATGTATTTATTTAATTTTGTCCTGAAAAGAAAAAGCATTCAAACATCTGATAATCTGTTACAGCAATCCCAATTCATAAATATGTAAAGCAAGAAAGGTCACTTTAAGAACGGCTTGATAAAGTCATTACAAGCTGGTACTTTAAGGATTCTCAAGGAAAAACCCTCTCAATATACTATCTATATTGGATAAATATCCAGTGGTAGCATGAGCACACCTGCACAACCCAAAGGATTGCATCTTTAAGTCAAGCCATGAAGCTGTTCTGAAAATGAAGCTGTATTCCAGAAAGCAGATCTTCAATTGGCTCAGTGGATTACTTCCATTCTTCCATTAGGAAAACCAGAAAAATATTTTTGCTTTCTGGTGACAGCCTGTGTTCAGTAGTGTCTGAATTTGATACTTATTGGAAACAAAGGAAGATTATTGATTGTAGAGTTTGCCAGTAATTAAGTAGACCAACAAACCATACACATTTGGCTTCTCTCAGTTCAGAGGAAATTATTTCTTCTTGGTTCATGCCATCAAGTTACAGTTGCTTGAGACTTCATGGAATAATACAGAGGACATCTCTTAGCCCAGTGGTGATCAGTTTATATTCTGAAACTTGTTATTTATTACACCTTTAAGTTAAAGGTAATGATGAAACGGGTCATAGTATTATCCAGCTTTCAAAAATATGTATGTCTGTCCAGCTGCGGTAACAACAGAGGGCAACAGACCTTCAGTTGCATAGATCCACAACTGAGGCTGAGCTATGACAATTTGTACAAGTCAAATTGCTGGATCCCTATGGTAGATTTTCCTCCTAACTTGTCTCATTGTTTCCTTGCTCCTGTGTAGACAAAGGTACATAATAGATGTTGCTTTGAGCAAAGAAACAATCATTGAAAAAACCCTGCATAAATATTTCCTAAAACAGACTTGTGTTTCTGCAGGATGGGAGCCTCAGAGGGCATTCATCCCTGTAGTCCCTCCATACCCACTCTCCATTAATAGTCTGGTACAGTGGAAAACATTATTTCCTATGACAATATTTATATTGTATAAATAAGCCAATAAGCCCAAAGTCAGCCCTCAGTTACAGTGGAGCTACTGTCTTAGATGAAATGTCAGTTGTGCTTGGATCCTTTAGGTCTTCTCAGTTTTACTCCACTGATTCGTGTCTGAATGCAATCCCCCTACCCCTCATTGTCAACATTATTCTGTCAGGATCAGCTGAAAGAAGTTTGCAAAAGCTTTTCCACTGGCTCTCTGCCAACATCCATTTTCAATTACACCTTCATGTCTCGTTAATGTCAATTGCTTTGCAAAGTTTAAGTCACTGTCTAGGTTGTCATATGCAAGTTCTTCACAAGGAGAGAGCTGGACCTCTGGAGTTCAATGAATATTGGGGATATAGCATGTTTTTGCTCATTATAAAAACTGATGCTGCAAGCATACTACAATCTGAATGAATCAGGCTACATTGCTACTTTGTGTCTTTTGTCTTTCTGCTGTATAGGAGAAATGGGGGACAAAGGACAGAAAGGCAGCATAGGACGGCATGGAAAAATTGGTCCTATTGGTTCAAAAGGTATGCTTAATTCAATTGTTTCTTCATTTGTGTTTCAGATTAAAATGTGTGATCATTTATGTTTGAGAAAATTTAGGGGCTTGAAAAATGGTTACCAAGTCTCAGAGCTTACCATGATGGGAATTTTCTCACACTCTAGTCAGCCAGGTTATTGACATCTCTCAGCCAGCTACCTTTTCCTCTGACAGCAGTATATTTAGCCTTAAAGCAGCATGGGTATCCTGGTTTGAGGCTAAATAAAGAACTTTGTTCACTGTCACATGAGAGTGGACAGTTAAGAGAAGCAGGTGGGAAGATGGACTGTACTTTGACAGACTTTTAAGAGCCAGAAGACTTGCTTTCTAATGTTGCCTACTCCATAATGGCTTCCTATGGGACTTTTGTTGAGTCATTTGGACCAATGTTTACCTAAGCATGTAGATTATGATTTTAAATTTGGGCATATCGAGCCCTTTTCCCTCTACAGCATCTGAATTTACTGGTTCTGTGAAGTTCATGAATGTCAAAAAGTGGATATTGGTACATATTCTTTGTCTTCAAATTTCATAGCTTTGTCAACCTTTGTTGTGGAACGAATAGGACAGAAAAATCTTTATTTTTGCTTGAGCATATTTCTACTTTCCACATTTGAATGTTACTAGAGAAAAAATGAACTATTGCCGAAAAAAGCTGCCTTAAATTTATATTCTTTTTCATGTCTTTAGGTGAAAAAGGAGATAATGGTGACATAGGACCACCAGGTCCTAATGGTGACCCAGGTAATCTATAATACGTTTTGTGTATGTGAAAGACTTTGCAACATGCATGCATCATCACCAAAAATATGTCTGTTTACATACTGGGGGAAATAATAAATAATTTTTTGCATAGATACTATAATATTTCACTGTGATATTTTCAAATTTCTTATAATTTGAAGTTGCAGTAGTTGCTAGATTTGTAGTGTATGTGTTGCAACAGTGTCTCAGAGTTCTCAGAGATGTAACTTCTCCGGAAGTCTGGTGGGTACCAAAGTGCAAACTGTCCATATCATTCATCACCAGTGCAAAGGGACGTCTCTGCATATCCCACTCTGTCTTCCAGCCAACACAAAGGAGCAGTTTAGAAGCTCCTACCCCAGCATGGATTATTGTTATAGGACCAGGAGATTGTCAAGAATACAGATCACAGAATCACAAATGTGTCAGGTTGGAAGGGACCACAGTGGGTCATCTGGTCCAAGCTCCTGATCAGGCAGGGTCATCCTAGAGCATATGGCACAGGATTGTGTTCTTGAACACCTTCAGTGAGGGAGACTCCACGATCTCCCTAGGCAACTTGTTCCAGCGTTTGGTCACTGCACAGTAAAGAATTTCTTCCTCATATTCAGATGGAACTTCTTGTGCATCTGTTTCTGCCAATTACCTCTTGTCTTTGGCACCACCAAGAAGAGCCTGGCTCCATCCTCTTGGCTTCCCCCCCTTTGGATACTTATATATATTAATGAGGTATATAGGTCTTCCAGAGGTATATAGATCTTCCAGAGAATCAGGTGAAAACCTGACATAAGAAGTGTAAGCCTTACAAGAGCAGCAGGTTCAGATTTGACTGAATTTATCCCTTCCTGGCAGAGTGCACTACAGGCGCACCAATTAGTTTTCTCATGAGAATATCATTTGTCACTCTAATTCTTGAGCCAGAGGACCATATTCCTAGCCATCGTGCACAGTTTTTCAGGGCAAGTACCCTGTGCTTAGACTGACTTAGACACCTAAGATGATTCATTGGGTAGTCAAATGCAGATTTTAATACTTACACACAGAAATGCAAACTGAAATTGATCCTCATGAAGATTTGTGCTCAAAGATGTAACAATTATCCTTTTGGTATTCACATTGAGATTAGCTTTGTCAAACCTATACCAATTTTGGTTAATAGATGGTTTTCTATTGTCTTGTTATATTGTAAGAATTACTGTAAATTCTGTATTTTCAAAAGTACAGAACTTCATTTAGCATCAAATGGTTGGAACTTTTGAATCTGCTCTGTTATGTTCCTTGTGAGGAATGCCAAACAGTGTGTGTGCAGGTTTTTGCTGTGAAAGAAGTTTTCTCACAGTTTTCTCTGTGAGAAAACTGAAGAGAATAATTTTACAGAAAATGGGAAATTTTGACAAATGTTTTTAGTTGTCAAAGAAATTGTGGTTTTTTGCAGAGAATATCTATCTGTGTTTAGATTAGCACTAATCATGCAGGGCTGAAGCTTCATGGGAAGTGAGCTGAGCTGTTCTGCACAGGCCCATACCCCCTGAGAATCATATAATGGTGCAGGGTAGTGAAGGTTCTAATTTTCTGTCTGTTATTTGCATGACAACCCTCTCCAGGGCTGTCAGGCTGGGCCTTTTCATAGACTTGTTGAGGTAACTATTGAAATTGGGTAGCTTTTTGATTTGGGTGTATCTGTATCATTTCACAGGCATCCCCTGTGAGTGCAGCCAGCTAAGGAAGGCTATTGGTGAAATGGATATCCAAGTAGCCCAGCTGACAACGGAACTAAAATTCATAAAAAATGGTAGGTTAATTTTATATAACTGTTTTTCTTTCTTGTTGCCTTATCTTACCGGTGCAATTGCTCGTAGAGAGTGTCACCGTTCCACATCTGATTTGTGAAGCTATTTTGGGGTGTACAGTGACTTGGTTTATAGAAATGCGAGTGCTCACTTTTCAGCACTGCCCTCCCCCGCAGCTGTTGCTGGTGTGCGTGAGACAGATAATAAGATATATCTGCTGGTGAAGGAAGAGAAGAGATACAAGGAAGCCCAGCTCTACTGCCATGGAAGAGGAGGGACACTGAGCATGCCCAAGGATGAGACTGCCAACAGTCTGATTGCCTCGTACATCAACCAAGCTGGGCTCACCAGAGTCTTCATTGGGATTAACGACCTAGAGAAAGAGGGAAATTTTGTCTATTCCGACCGGTCACCCATGCAGACCTTCAACAAGTGGCGCAGCGGGGAGCCCAACAATGCTTACGATGAGGAGGACTGTGTGGAGATGGTGGCCTCTGGAGGGTGGAATGATGTTGCATGTCACATTACCATGTATTTTGTGTGTGAATTTGACAAAGAAAATGTCTAAGCTTCTCTGCTCTTTCTTTATTTTAAGAAAAGTTTTTAAGCCAATTTTACAGGTTACTCCATGTTTATGAGTTCAAGTGGCATTTTGCAAGTATGTGGCACCAATGTTGTACAGCTGTAAATACAATTTAGGTATTTCAAATATCAGTATTTACCCTTCAGAAGGGAAGAGCAGTAATAAGACATAGCTTGTTTTTTTTATTTTTCTGTAGAAAAATATATATATTTAGATAAAAATGTGGTTTGGGGCTAAATTTTGCCCTTACAACAGTTAACAAATGTGATTACATGACTGTAAAGGGAAGGCAGAATTTGGCCTCTAGTTGTTAGAATGATTAGAATTAGGTTCCTGATATTCTTTTATCTTAGCAAAATTTGTAGTTATAAATGTTAATTGCTTGTAGTGCTACAGGGATATTTCAGCAACAAGACAAATATTTTGTATACTCCAGCTAATTAGTACAAATATTACTGTAGGTTTATTGGTTCTTAAAACTTTTTTTTTTAAAAACAACCAAAGCAAGCCAAGAAATAGGAAGTCCTACCAATTTTGTAATGTTTCTTTATTAAACTGTTCACAGATGTATGATGAGAAAGCATTTAAGTAAACTGGGTTTTAGTGGTGAAGGAGGACAAAGTTTAGAGAAAGGTGTCCCTGCCCACAGCAGAGGGTTAGAACTAGATAAACTCTAGGGTCCCTTCCAACCCAAACCATTCTATGATTCCATGATTCTATGATATGAAAGTTCTTATAATTTAGTACTTAAAGAGGGTTGCCATCCAGGTGGTGTTTTGGAGTTGGCTAAAGGGAAAAGTAAGATTATGATTTTCTGCATTCCTTAGTTGAGAATGATTCAGTGCATGAAGTATTTCAGACCCCAAATAATTTCTTAAATTAAGCACGTTTCACATTAAGATGATCTTGGTGCGTGTTGTTACAAAACAAGTAAAATACTAGCCCTCCACAATTTAAGGCAGATTTCATAAATAGACAAAGAAGCTCATAGAAACGCTTTAGCTAGCAGTTCCTTTTGGCAGGAAAACAGCTTACATGTTTACAGAGCTTGTAAGGATGATCCCCTGAAAAGAAGAAAAGTTTCCAAAATTTTCCTGATCACGTATATAGCAGAAATAAGTAACTTTGCTCAAATAATTTATGTACCAAATTTACAATTGCATGTGATGGAAAATGTGATGTATATTTAAAAAAAACCCCAATAACATCGTATTTCACAAAGGAAATGATAAATTACTTTGGATCTTTCTAGAAGCCAGTTGCATGCCGTCTTATCTCATTGTTAGGCATAGGAAAATCGGCAAAATCTCTGACTGCATTTCTTCAGAAATACCTTGCACAGTGCTTTAAGATTATTTTTAAGGTAAATGATCCTTTGCATAACATACTAATCAAAGTATGTATCTGCTCATTATGGGAGATTGGTATACAAGATATCCACGGTGGATGTGGCATGTGGTCCCAGAGATTTTTCTACAAGGCAAAACCAACTCATATCAACTCTGCAGTGCTGTAGTATGTAAACAATCAATAGCCATACAATTCTGCTCATATTCACAGAGTCTGGCATTTGATTTGTCTACCTACGAGAACAAACCATTTTGCTTGCTATGTTTACTCTGTGAATTTGAATCTGTTATGTATATATGTTTGCTATTAATTTTGAAGATCATTATCCATACTATAGTATCCTATATTATTTGAATATCAGCCCAGCTCCAGAGCAATCACTCAAAATGAATGGGTCCTTTGAATGATTTACTTTCTTTTAATAAAGATAGGTATGATACCTATATGTTAGTCATTCTTCCAACTGCATATTGAAATATGTGAAATAACGTGAATCTGGTTCTACACTAATATTCAAAGACTCTTTACAGAATTTTCAGGTAGTTAACAATGCCAGTAGAGCAATTTGTTTATAATCACGCCTTTTGAATATCATGATTGTTTCCTGCCTGCTGTAGAAATCCTCACAAATCATTTAAATTTCAAACATACTTTTGTCAGATTATTGTAGCTATATTCAGACAGCCTGAACCTGAGATACCTGGAGCTTCCTTGTTGTGTGTGCTGAAGTTGCAAAACCTAGGTTTTGAAAGTCTCTGTTGTATTGTTCAGTTTCCTCAGAAAGATGAAAAGAGGCCTTTTAGAGAGGTGGGAAGCTTTTTGAGATGCCAGATGCTCCTATTACAGCTGGAAGTCACACATCATAATCATCATCCTCGATGTGGAGAGCATTAAACAGTCTCAATTTCTATAAAAATTTAGGATAAAAAATAAAGGCAATGGAAAAAATCATTTATTTCCACTAGTTTTCATGTTCTTCAGGATATAGTTTTGCAGTGCTTGATGTGTTGGATAGAAACTAAATTAGTTTCATTGTCAGATCCCTGCACAGTGGCTACAAAGCCCTTATTTCATCATTTGGGCAAGAGGAACAAGGCTACTGTGTAAGTCTCTGACTGTCCTGCAAGAAGCGATGATTGTGCATCTGATATTTACCCCTTTGAGGAACTGGGCAAGAAATGATGGAGGGGTTGGAAATGAATGAGCCCTTCATCATTTCTTTCACTCTCTAGTTGCTGACCTCCATAGATGGGCATTACAATACAGGTTTTAATGCACATGGAAAATAACCCAAATAAAAGTACCTTCTAATTAATTTAATTTTTTTTAAACAATAGTTCCAAATTCCACTGAGACTAATGGAAACCTTACCAAGCATGTCAGCAGGCTTTGTGCGGGCTGAGCATTACATGCAACATTGATTTCTGCCTCCAGTTGAAGGCTGACAAGTTAGTTCTATTTGGGGTATTTTCCACGTGCATTAAAACCTGCATTTTAATATCATTACTCATTTTGTGTGGCTCTGTGGAAGCCTTGGAGCATGTCTGTCTGGGAAGAAGGCACAGGTGTTTCTCAGACTGTTCTTATATACTCTATTTTTGATTGGATGATTTTTCCTCATAAATGCTTCCCCATAGCCCTTATTTATTTTATTCTTAAATAAAGGGCATTCTGGGGATTTTAAGAAGTTAACAATAGCAGTTGCTTTTTATAATATAATATAAGTATAATATAATAATAACCCACTCATGTGCTTGAATTACTTCACATAAAATGTGTATTTCATTCAACTATACGCCGCACCTTTAGCTGCTAAGGCTGTGTTGTATTACTGATGCCAGGGCCAGATGTGCAATCCTGCTCTAGGAGATGGCTTGGTAAAGGTAAAGCATTTAACTGTCTGAGTCCAAGGGGAGTCCCATTGCCAGTGAGAGCTCTGCTTTGCTGTGGACATCTCAGGAGAGCACTGGATCATGTCTAATCCTGATCACCATTCAGATTTGCCACTCCACATCCTGACTCCTTGGTGGAAGGTGCTGCTCCCAGTTGCCTTGTTATCCTGCTTAGCTCCTGGCTTGCCATCCCTCAAGAACCAGCTGCTCCTCACTGTGCTCTGACAGCTGAAACAATTATCCCTGGAGATATGGGTTTGTTACAGGTTTATTAGCATCAGAACTTCTCCCTGACTGTGAGTTTTGCACAGTCTGATATCACAGAGAAGAACTGTAAAAAAATTAATATTCATACATGGGATATAGAGCATCCTTATTCATGTAAGTAAAATGGAGTTCTTCATTTTTCATAAGCTCAGGAAATGCCAGTTTAAATATGCATTACAAAATAGCAGCTGGTTGGACTTTTTTGTTACAGATTTTGATGAAAAGTGAAATAAGATATAATTAAAATAATTTTAATTGTAAAATACTATTAAGGTTTACAATGGACAAAGAGTTTTGAAGTAGACATTTTTCAAAATGTTTACTTTTGGAATATTTCAGAATTTAATTTCTGAGTTCTAAAACTTTATTTTGACCCATAAAGGGATTAGATTTTTATGTTATTGTTAATATGTTTTACATCATGTCAGGGACAGTGTTCAGCTTGAAAGATTTTACTTTATTCTTTATGTCTTGATTTCCAATGGGAACTAGTTATCTTTTTGAGGGTTCTGTTTACCATACTGAAAAAGTTTGACGTTGCAATTGCTTTCTTCTTCTGGGCTTGCTATGACACTGTAAATACTATGAATATACAGCAATAGATAGTTCAACCAACATTACAAAGAAGATATTCTTACTGATTATGAAAATTATTCATTTAAGTATTATGCCATATAATTAGCAGTTTATGCACTATCACTAATGTCCAAACCAATCATTAAATAAGATAAATGCAAGACTTTTAAAACCTGAAAATCTTACAAATATACTTTCATCCTGAATTAAAACACAAAGATGTCAAAGTAACCAAATTTACAGTAAAGTGGAAACTCAGGGTTTCCCCTAGGTCTAGATCCAGATCTAGTTTTTGTGGGAAACTCAGTGACTTGTGATTATTATGGCTGAATCAAATCCTAGAGCAGAGAATTAGCCAACAATGCAATGATGTGCGACTTTCCCCCTTGTACTTTCTAAACTGCTTCCCCTTAGCCATTATTTCCAAGCATTCTTCTCACTTAACTCCATATATAAATGTGTGATGAGTTTGTCCCAAGGATCAGTCTCTTTTCACTGGAGATTCTGGTTTTCAATTTTTGGTTTGCCCTATGGTGTCAACAGGTCCATGTCAATCAACATTTGCCACAGGTTATGGACCAAGAGGTGGGTATTTTGTCCACAGCAGGTAGCTAGAAATGCTCCATGGAACCAGCTGCGATGGGAGAGGTATTGTGCAGCCCTGGAGCTGGCCACTCACCCATTCCCTGGGGTGCATATTCCTGGTCAGGGAGACACAGCCCAGCCTACCAAGAGAAGAACTGACCTTGTTATTGTGGGTAAAAAGAAATTAGAGTCTTAAGATTTACTTAGGGAAAAAATTGTGCAGTGGAGGATTTTGGCTATTTACTTCATAGAGTAGCTGTGAGAAAGAACAGTTTGGTTTTAATTTTGCCGTGTTAGAAGAGTACAAACTACGTGAATTGGGAGAGAAAGTGTTTGTGGAGAGGACAGCAGCTCTGCACTCAATGTGTTTTTCTGGATGTGAGTCTCCTCCTAGCCAGGAGTTTTTCAATTGGATGAGAAGAGGTGTCCTCTCAAGAGGGAGAGCATGAAATAGAAAAGGTGGGAGAAGCGATGAGTGGATGTGCAGAACTGGCAGTGAGTGGGATGCCCAAGAGGCGGAATGTAAATGTTACCTCCAGCCATTCTCCTGCTTCCTGCTAGGGAAATGTAATTATCTTGCCCTTTCCATCAAAATGTCTCACTATGGCTCTGGATGGATAGCTACAAAAATAGAAGGAGGTGACCAATTTAGCATAATGTCTGTGTTTAAATAAAGCCCAGTTTGGGTCTATGGCCAAATAATAGCATCCACTGCACTCTGGGTATATTAATGCCTGAAATCACAGGGGATATAATTAAGCACTGCTATTCAAAGGCTAGCTATGTAGTATTGATGAGCTTCTGGGTATTCTTTACATATAAATGTGTGAATACTGCCAAGAATTCATCAACAAAAGGTCTGGTGTGCAGCTGAACGACACGTGTGTTACCATACTATCATCTAGTGGCAGTAAGAGCCAAAATGAAGGAGCTGGGTTTTGCTTCTGCTTGTATCAGTTGCTCTGTTATTGAGTGCAGTCACTGATGCTGTATAGAACAACTGATTTTTCAGCTCCAAACGTCTTTAGTCAGCTTTCTT